GTGTTAGACCAGCACAGCAACTTTCCTTCTTAAGAAAAACAGCTTTTGTTTTGTTCTGCAAAAATGCTGGTGCAACTCTCCTGCTTTGAAACAAACATCAGATGTGTTTTGCCACGGTGCTGGATCTCACACTGACTTCTCAGCAGCTAAGAAATTGCTTTTCTGAAAGAGTATGTTTGAGTAGTTAATCATTAAGGTCTGCAGGGTAATCTTGGAGAAAAAAATAATTGAATGAACAAGGCCTTAAAATATTCAGTATTTTAATTTAGCCTTTTATTTATCTTGAGGATGCGGGGAAACCAGGTTGCTCTCTGTGTAAATTACATTTTGGGAGATGTAAGTTTCTTTGGATACAGACTTGCTGGGTGATAGACTGCAGGTAAGAGTTCAAGGAAACTCCGCGTTGTTACCACCCTGTAGTTTGCCACCCTCGGGTAAATACCCAGAGACTGTGCTGGGAGCTCTGTCGCGTCAGTGCCTGGCACAGAGCATTGCAGAAGTTCAAAACGCTTTGCTAATTCTCTGTGTAAATTCAGACGGCACCTCTGCTTCATGGTCATTCTTTTCTCGGTAGTCATACCTTTGCCTTGACAATGAAAGATGCAAATGAAACCTGATGAAAGCAACTCTCAACTCAAACATACCAGTATCTAACCCAATCATTATCATCTCTACCAAGACCTGCAGCAGGCTGAGGAGGGGTGCTTGGAACAGCAATAATCCTCCTCCTGCCAGGCAGAGGAGGGGCTTGCATGGGATGCTTACCCGCCTAGCTCATGTCCTTTCCAAGGACCTTTGGATTCTTGGCTTCAATATCACAAAGGTCTTAAATGAGCTTGAACCACATTGTCCCTGGTGTAGCCAGCGTGCCATGAAGTACCAGTGAGAACCCACTCACAGGTGCCTCTGCTCAGTTTCTAGCTGGTCCTTTCTGTTGTCTGAGAGAGATCACAAAATCACTGTTAGTTCCTTCTGCGACTGTAGGTGGATGCCTGGCACCTCATGAAACAAGCTACTGGTTTTCATGGTTTGTTTTTTTTCCACAGAAAAAAAATAGATGGCAAAGCAAAACTGTGAGATAAAAATGAGAAGGAAGGCAAAGTATTAGTGTTTTGATTACACGTGGCTTGCTGTAGCAGCGTAGGTCAGGAACTGGGTGCTGTTAGGAAAGAAGAGGGAAGCAGGAATCCTAATGCTAGAACAGGATTTTTCAACAACTGCCCAGGTAGGGAGAAACTACAAGTCAGCGAAGTGTTCGTGACTTCGCTAACTCCAGAAAGCCAGAGGGGTTCACTCCCTGTGGATGCTATGGAAATTTTAATTAGTATTTAGCAGTCTGTTAATTTTACATGGAAACTAGCATAGCGATAGGTCCCCCTCATGAGTTCCTGAAGGACCAGTGCAGGCAGTGAGGGTGACAGCCAGGATAAAAGGAGTAGAGAGGCAGAAGAAATGGCAACACGACTGAGATGTGAAGTGTAGGAAGTAATTCAAGGCTTAACAGCAGCGTGAAGGAAATTGGATTAAAAAGCCAGAAGTAAGCCCATAGGAGGGATTTGTGCATGGAGAGAAGGAGGTGTTGGACGAGCAGAGCAGAATAGCACTTGCAGTGGAGTTACTTAAGGTCTTGAGGTAGGTTCGAATGTGTTTTATGGTATGGAAAATGCTATGATAGAGTCAGGTGCATGTATCAGCTGACCCACAGCAACTCACCACGTGCTTCTAGCTCTCTGCAAATGCCAAGTGATGTTAGCATAAGCTGCAGGAAAAGAGATTTAAGCTAAATTTTACTTTGTATTTGCAAGCAACAAGTTTAATGCGAATGTTGGTTACCTCAGCCCGACTGTTGGTCACAGCTTGTTATGTGGTAACTCAGCCGTGTGTCTCAGCCTGCTCCTGAGGTCCAGCCTACAGCCCAGGTGGGAGGACGCTCAGCAAATGCTGGAGATCGTGTTGCCAAACTGTTCTATCCTCACGCAGGTACGTTGCTTCAGGGGCTGACCCACCTCCAGTCTGTGTTGGCTCAGGGATCTCTATGCTGTTCCTTACTGCACAGTGCGTATATGCTGAATGTGAATTAATGATGAAGGGAATTGTGTGGAAAGAGAAGAGAATCTGGCTTTAAATAACCTTGTTACCTTGAGGTTGTTTAAACCGTGGAGAACAGCTCATAGCAAAATAGGTAATGTGTTTGAAGCAAGATTATGGGTGATGGGTTTGTTTTCACTGGAAAAGAGAGAAATTATGAGGTGAGATAAAGGAGGCTTTCTCACCCCTGAAAGGATTAATAGTCAGGGTGAGCTTTCCAGCCAAAGCAATCCTCTGCTGTGGATGGAAAGCAATGATGTAGGGTAGAAAAGGTGAATTCCTCAATGATGGATTTTTAGGCTGGAAAAATATGATATTGACAATATTTGAATGGTGCTAATGAAGATAAACTTACTGCCATTCAGACATCAGTCAGGAGTGAGGGAGCACTGTTTATCGATAGCATAGTGTTGGTCTAAAGATTAATCTGAAATACAAGGAACTAAAAGTAGATAAAGAAGGGTGATTCAGGGGTAACTAACATCTTAAATTATTAAGGGATGTAACCGAAACAAAGAATTGCAGAGCTATCTAGGCTGGCTGCTGGAGAAGGAAGACCCTGAGTGGTCTGCAGGAAAGAGATACAGCAAAACCCCTAAAAGGTACAGTAGGTCTTGAACAATCTTTTCATTTTTTATTTTTCTGTGTGTTTGGTGGTGGCTTGTGGGTTTGGGTTTTTTAAGTAAGATCTCTGTAGGAGCTGTGTCCTCTGCTGGGTCTTTTTTTTTTTTTTTTCCTTCACTTAAATCACATGTAAGGAAAAAAGTGTTTGACCTCCTGTAAATAGACTTGAGGTACTTTGTTATTAGTTTAGAGATAAGAGAACATGCAAGAGAGTATGGTGTACATGCGAAGGTAACTGAATCAGAACCTCAGGCCGCAAGATTTGGTGGTTTTATTTGTGTCTGCATATTGAAATTGGTATTTTCTGATCAGGGTGTCTCTGGACTGGTTAATAGGAGGCCTTTCAGTTTGTGATTTAAGCTCTTCAGCAAGGTTGCACAGAGTTATGTCTGCCTTTGCCATGCTCTGGTGGGTCCTTCTTAATTAATTCACATTTTAGCCATTTTTGTGACATAGAGTTATCTATTTTGGTCCACAGGCAACAAACAGTTAGCATTGAAAGGTTTTTTACATGCACTGAGATGTAACACTTGTGGCCTTTGCCCCCATGTCAACCCGCAGTTACCGTAGCCCGTCTCTCCTGCACAGCCCCTGCCTGTGTGCATGCGTGTTTGGGGAATGTCTGGATAACTCCTAGAAGGCAGACCGAGATTTTTAGGAAGCGCCTGTGTCCCCTCATTGGTGTGGTCCGTGTAACTCCGCAGGGCAGAGGAGGGAATCCCAAAGAACAGCTCTTGCCAACATCAAAAGTGTGTATTTGTGCATCAGTAGTTTCCAACATTTTATTCTGGATCTGTGAACTCCCTGTGAAAAAAAGAGTCCGGTGGTAATGTAGACCCCACAGCAATAGACTTAAGCTTGCAGGTGGTGGAGTTGGTTTTCCATTTACTTTTCACAGGCCTTTTAGAAGTAGTTGGTGGGATTTCCCTTGGCAGTCTTAAGGATCTCATTGAATTGGCCACTGCTCTTGATGTGCTGTAGAGTCAGAGCAAGGAGAGAGACTCCAGCAGCAGGCGATTTAGAAGGCAGTTAAACCAATTGCCATCTGGAAGAGATGGGAAAGAGAAGAAATCTTTGGTAGAAACCAGACATTGAAGGAGAAGGCAGATTAAATGGAGTCCTGAAACAGGTAGGAATCTTGCACCTTGTTCTGTCTCTCATTCTTGCACAGCTGCTCTTGTATCTTTCTTACTCTGCGGAGTTCATGCCAAGATCATCAAGAACAGGTAATGCCACATTCCACGCTGTGGAGCTCTGTGGAGATGGAGCAGTCGGAGTGTAACAGAGAGAATAAATCCTGAGGGACAAAGATAAAAGGAGATTTGCTTGAGAGCGGAGTCTTCAAATACAAGGTGCCTCTATCTGTCACACTTGCAGAATTCTTAACAAGTCATCACAGAGCGGCACACAGTCCTGATGCGGTCCTGGACGCGGAGTGCAGTGGCAATGTTCCGCTCGGAAATCTGCATTGTCCTGTAATAAATTAAAGCGATCAACTCCATTACTTTGGTAGCACAGTTAACTTTTATGATATCTCCAGCCAGTGCAAGGGGCATCTCAAGAACTTGA